CCCACACCCACCGCTGTAACGGGGAACGGCGGTCCCGAGCCGACGCCGGTCACGTGACCCACACCCACCGCTGCAGGGGAACGGCGGTCCCGAGCCGACGCCGGTCACGTGACCCACACCCGCCGCTGTAACGGGGAACGGCGGTCCCGAGCCGACGCCGGTCACGTGACCCACATCCACCGCTGCAGGGGAACGGCGGTCCCGAGCCAATGCCGGTCACGTGACCCACACCCACCGCTGTAACGGGGAACGGCGGTCCCGAGCCGATGCCGGTCACATGACCCACACCCGCCGCTGTAATGTCTGCTAGAGCGTGCGGGGGCCCAGTGAGGATTCGCATGAGCCCGTTAGACTTTCCCGCACACTGCATACAGCTAATGTGACTGGGTGGGGCGGCTCTGACTGTCACATTAGCTGTATGCAGTGTGCGGGAAAGTCTAACGGGCTCATGCGAAGTCACATGACCTCGCCTAACGCACATGGCTTCTGAGGGCAGTCAGACTCATGGATAATTCATAGACGATTCATATCTCAGGACAGACTTCCAGCAATGTTTCTGCTCAAAATATGACATCCAAAGGTATAAAAGCACTACTGTTATGTGAGCAGGTCAGAAAAAGAACATAAAAAAAACTTTTTGAAGGATTTAGATCCCCTCACCAGTGTGACAAATGCCCTTCTCTCCCATCATTAACCAGTTACGTTACCACATTTATTACCAAGTCACACACGTTTCCACGTGCACCACATATACTGTCAGCGTGTCACATCACCCAGGAGCGAAGCCACTCAGACACACAGGCGGGCGGTGAGATAAAGACGCGGGTGATCCAGAGCATACAGAATCTCATTACGACCCATAACCCCCCCCCACCCGCACTGCATCATGGGAAGGGTTAGCTGATCCGGAGCATGCAGAATCTCATTACGACCCCTAACCCCCCCCCACCCGCACTGCATCATGGGAAGGGTTAGCTGATCCGGAGCATGCAGAATCTCATTACGACCCCTAACCCCCCCCCCCCCGCACTCCATCATGGGAAGGGTTAGCTGATCCGGAGCA